TGATGTGGGTTCAGCAGTGAGTCATTAGCCCTTTTCTCACATCTCCATTTCCTCTAGGAAAAACGATTTGTCATTCTTTCATATCTTTACACGGAAGGTGCCTGAGGAGGGTACAAAGAAAACTTTCAAAACCTGCGGCTCCTCGCCGTGACCACGGGGGGCGCTGTGGAGACCCAGAGGTGCGGTTAAGTGGACCACACCTGCTTTTTAATCTTGGGGAATGCCAGCCTTTAAAACATGGAGGTCTACTCAGGAGAGGCAGACAACCTCACTTGGCAACAAAAACTATACCTGCCTGTTTCAACTATAAACCATGTTTTAATTTGAGGTTTCTCTCACCTTGTCTGCAAAGCAAAAATGGAAATCTTGAAGGAGGGAAGTGCAGAGGAACTCAAGTGTAACCACCTTGAGGCATTAGAGGTAGTGCTGGCCACAATGCAATAAAAAGAGGGAATTAAAGTGTGGTCTGTTTTGCGTTAATAACAGTCATTATGGAAGTCAAGAGGTCCAAGCCAGCCTTTCTTCTCCAACCCCCCTTCCTTTCTCTGACACATACTCATATACAAACATACACAGAGAATCTTTCAGGAGAGAATATAAAAATACATCCACTGTGTTCTGATAATAGTCTCCTTCATTGGGCAGTTGGCCCAAAAGACCAGGAATATGTATATAGAAAGACAGATTCATGAATTAAATACTGTCACTTTCCCCAAAACCATCATGTCATTGGTATTCATTCTATACCCCACAACTTCACTTGGAAAATTACAGAGGTACAAGAAAAGGAGAACTGCTTAGTATTAAATGTGAAAGAATTACAAAGGAAACCTGACTATGATCTTCCAGGCTATATACTTCAGGCCACCTGATTCTAAGAGACAGAATAAGACAAAGTGGCTATCTACTTCCTTTGCTTGCTCAGGTTGTAGATTCCACTCTTCATTGACACAAATTTTTCTTCTGTGTGTTGACTGGCATCCAACTGATACTGATGGGCATTCCTAGTAAATGAAGGACCAACCCTGTTACTGAAGGAGGTCAATGAATGGGAAACGTGGGAGCTTCAATCTCACAATCACAATGTATTATACCATAAACAATAGCCTAGTCCATATTCTATTCTGATTATTTTCTACCTGATTATTTTATCCTAATATCTTTTTATCATAAAGATATTTTATTGTTGCTATTACTTTTAAAATAGTACTAGGAGCAGAATTCAGCAGCCCAAGCTAAACACCAGAGAAATGTGGCTTCCCACCATGGGCACCATTGAAACTTGAGGCTGGATAATTCTCCAGTGTATGGGGAAGGTGGGTAGGCTGCCCCCTTCATTGTGATGGACAAGAAATATCCTGGCTTCTATCTAGTGGAGACCAGCAGCAGCCTACCCCAGGACAATGAAAACTACTTTCAGACATTGTTAGTCATTACAGCAGAAGCAGTATAGAGAGGAAAGGATGGGATAGAACCCTGCCAGAGTTAGACAAGCAATGTATTCCTGTTTGCTGTAAAGAAAGCAGAAAGGAGAGCCAAGCAAATGGAGAACCCTGAAGTCCCAGCCCTAGGGAAGACGAGACCAGAGGGTTATGAGTTGGAAGATGGCTTACACTATAGGACAAGTTTTAAAGCCCGCTTGAGCTATATCAGCCCCCTCCCCCAATCTTAACAAGCAGGGTCTGGGATATAACTCAGTGGTAGGGATTGCTTCCTTGCAATACAAAAGCCTCAGACTTAAAACAGACAAACAAAAATAAACAAAAATTAAAACTACTTCCTTGTCCCTCACCATATCTCTACAGGTTTGTGTATCAATTTAGATTCTTCTTAGATGTAACAGCGTCACTTTTTCAGAATTTCTAAAGCCTTGCACGGTGTCCTTTGAATAACTGCACCTTGAACTTCAAAGGGATAGTCAAAATGTTCACCATCCACTAATTTCTGCTGGGCAAGCAATCAGTAAACTACAGCCCAAATCCACTTCGAGTCTTAAACTAACAGTATGTGAAAAGATCAATATGAAGAAATTCAAAACTAATCAGATCCCTTCTTTAAATGTTGACATAGTATTATTTATACCACCATAAATACATTCTTGGCTAAAATTCATACTAGGAGCTTGGAACCTGGCCAGTTCTATTAATATCTACTTTATTTATACAGCACACTTGGCCAAGGATAATATTTAAGACAAAGTATGCCTGGGGGCATATACAATATCTCTTATATTTTCTCTTTTAAATCTTCACATTGCTAAAAATATTGAGTTTGAACTTTATAAAATGTCCCACCAAGGGCTATCAACCATCTGTAGCGATACATAGTCACCAAGTATAATTAGGGCACATTTGTAACACTTGAGCTGAAGTCACTCCCTGAACACTGATAAGTTGGTGGAGGGAAAACGAGAAGGAAAAAGAAGCTGTGATCTTTCCCATGCTTTCCTCCATGCCCTCATGGCCCCTCTTCAGATTCACTGCAAGACATAACAGGCACAGGCCCTCCTTTTTGGGCATCACAGTGACAGCCCAGTCCCCAGGCAGACAGAAAGTGCCAAAGGGGGGAAGCTGGCATATAAACCAACCATAGCCACACTCCCAGTTTTCTTTGCTTTAAAAATACAATGGAATGATTTTCTTTTTCCTTTTGCCTTTTCTTTCTTTTTTTCTTTTTCTTTTTCTTTTTTTTTTCTTTTTTTGGAAGCTCTCACTATATTCCAGGACTTTCTAGTCCTGGAAAATCAGTTAACCTACTTTCTATAAAATTACCCACAGTCCCTGTGCAGTTGTGTTGAATCTACTATTAATATGACATGCTACTCCTAAGTGTCTACACTCAATACTGTATTTCTCATGTGAAAATACCATGGTATCTGTGTGTAGCATGTGTGTGTGTGTGTGTGTGTGTGTGTGTGTGTGTGTGTGTGTGCACAAGTACGTAGTTTTTAGGCTTTCATGTATTTGGAGGTTCAGGGATGGGCTGGAGATGAGAATCCACACATTAATCTTAAAAGGCACTGTCGAATCTTCCGGATAAACCAGGAATGTTTCTACTTTGTTTGTGACCATGGTCCTGCATTGTATTGCTCACCTTTACCCATCAGACTGAAGTGCTACTGCCCTCTACATCTAGGCAATTCCAGACTAGCAGCTAATCTGAGCTTTTGCATGTAAACCCCGAAGGAGGATTTATTCGCCCATATAACATACCTGTCTGTCACCCCCAAATATCAGTAGAATCAAGACACACATGCAGGAGAGAGCTGACTCAACCCTTTGCTTAGCCTCAATGATTCAGGACTAATTACAATGCACTCTCTTCCCTAGCCATGCGGTGGCTCTGCCCCAGATAGAAAGCCTTTCTTCCCAGGGGGTGATAAACAGGGCAATGTAAGTGTCACCGCTATGGTGGTAAGAACCATAATTATAATAATAAAATCATCCTGTTGCGCAGGGTTCCCTGCATCTGTTACTCCAGGAAATAGCAAGAGACACTACAGGGTAAGAAAGGTGACCAGAAAGAGCTTAGGTAGACACTCTGAGGACATCAAGTACAAGACAAGGCAAGTTGAATGGCTATGGCTCGTCAAACTAAAAATAAATATTAGAAGAGAAAAGCACAACCCTGCAATTCTAACTTCTGGGATAAAATTACCAAGATGGCTGCATTATCTATTTAGGCAAGGCACTGACTTCACAAAGGCAGCCAGCGAGGATATAGGCATGAAAAGGGGAGGAGAGAAAGGATAGGCCAATGAAAAGTTTACGACGGAGACTTGGAACACAGGGATGCTGAAGTTTTTATTTTTCTTTTGGTGTTTCTTCCTGGTGTTTAACCCTCTCAGGGAATCACTCGGTGCTGTTGCTGCTGCAATCACAACCTCCCTTTCTTCCCTTTCTCCCTGCTCCTCTTCTCCCTGTTTTAAAGAACTCTGAAATAAAACTACACTAACTGTACTTCGTCCCTTCCCCCAAAGAACTCCACAATAAATCACTGCTACCGTATGCCAGCTGTTTTGAGGACAATGCTCACAGAGGAGCAGAGGAATGGGGTGATTTTTTTTTTTTTTTTTTTTTTTTTTTAAGCAGCTGTCTTTCCTAGATTCGATTTCAGAATGCACAGGAGTCCTTGCTGCTTAAGAAAGCGCAGGAGCAAGTTCGAGGTTGAAAAAGATACCGGAGAATCCCCCAAGAAAAACGTCAGTCGTCCTGCTCTCACCCTAGCGAGGACTAGCTAGAAAAATGAACGGGAAGTGAAACCTACTCAGCCCAGATAGAATCGTATTTATTCTTTCTACTCTCCAGGTGAGGTCAGAAAGGGACTTGGCTACACGGTTTTGCGAGGGGAGGGGGTGTAAAAACACCCAGAGAGCGGGATGGTAGATTGAGGATTTAAGGGGTTTTCAGTGCTCTCCCCCCCTCCCCAACACCCCGCACACGCGCTAGCAATCCTGTTTAGTGCTGGTGATGCTGATATTCTTGGGGCAGTGAGAAACAATAGCAAAGGCTTGGGGAGCCCCCAAATAGATCAATATAGAAAGGGGGTGCCTTTGGGAAGGCTAGTTTGGAGGCACTTCTCTTTTAACTCTTTGTGCACCAGTTGGAGGACAACCCAGCCCCCACCCCCAAACCAACCCAGCAAAGAAACCAAGTACCCTAGCCTAAAGTCATCCGGGAAGCACTTTCTTTTTGACAGAAAGCTCCATAGTTGGTGGACCAGGGAAGGCAGAGAAATCCAAAGAACGGGGGCGTTTGGGGAAGGGAAATAGAGAAAAAAAAATTAAAACATAAGGTGAAGATTTGTAAAACTGAGGATCTCTATCCCAGGACTGGAAAAGAGGTGGAAGGAGCGAAGGACAAGAATGGAAAGGGGACGATCGGGACCTGAGGACCTGGAGAAGAATGGGCTGCTCCTAGGGCTGCTGAGGTTCTGAGGAGCTCCGGGTCAACCTTAGATTCGGGGATGGAAAAGGCGAAAACCATGGAATCTGTACTTACTTTCGGAGGGGAAGTGGGACGGCATGTCGATTTTATAAACCTCCTTGGCGTAGTACTCTTCATCGCTCCGTTCTCGCTCGCAGGCGGCTGCCCTCCGGCTTGCCTTTTCCTGCAGTAAGTCCCTGGTACTGTTGTATATGGAAATCACCTCCGGGGGGACCTCGTCCGGCTCAGGATAGTCTTCCGGGGGGCTGGTGAGCTTCAGCTTACTCAGGATCTGCCCGCGGATGGCCTCGATCCTCTTGCGCATAAACTGGTCCATGTCGAGGGTGCTGCAGGTAGACAGGCTGAGCGCCACCGGGACCAGATGCAGGAGCAAAAAGGTTCTCAGCACACAGTAGTGCATGTTTTTCAAAGGTGGAAACGTCGCTGGTGGTGTTGTTTAAAGTAAGAAAAAGTATATATATAAAGAAAACAATAATTCTCAAAGAGGGTCAGGTAAAGTTTTTTGCTTGTTTGTTTGTTTTTAATGTGAAACTTTTGCAAAGCAATCGAAAGTCAGTACCCAATAGAAAAACGTCCCTGGCTAGGGTTCCTTTAAAAAAGAAAATGCAACGCGTTCCCAGCGTGGAGATATTAATATGCGATGCTCAAATGTGGGGGGGTGGGGGCTCTCACTTTAAGGAGTAAGAAAGGTTTGTTTTTCCCCTGGAAGGGAGGGGGTAAGTGGCTCTGAAGTAGAAATAAACTTAAAAGAAAGAAATGGAGTTCAGTGTGTCAGGCTCGGGTGCGGAGTGGCGGATCTGAACTCGGATCCTTCGGTCAAAAGGGAAGAGACGAGAAGTTCCTTGGGCTGGCAGGAGACACGCAGGGCGGCAGGGAGCTCAGAGCGGCAGCCGGGGCTGCGCCGGGCTCTAACTGAGATGTTCAAAGACCGAACAGCTCGGCCTGCCTTCCACACGTGTGTGGATGAGTGTGCGTGTGGATGTGTGCGCGCTTGCGTGTGCGCGCGCCGAGGGCGAGCCTAGCGAGCCGCGGGGAGGCAGATGCGCCCCGGCGCGGCTCACTCGGGGATTCGGTGGGGGTACTGTCCACCCCAGAGATCCTCCGAGGCCAGAGCAGACAGCGATGATCCTACTCCTTTGGCTGCGCTGTGGCCTGCACCCGGCTGGGTCGCTCGCTCCACGTTGCAGCCGCCGCAGATGCCTGCAAAGGGGGCTAGCCTCCAGTTCCGTCCTGCAGATCCTGCTCCTCTAGCTCCAGGCGGCCATGGGGCGACAGAGATTGGCCACCTTCTTCACCCCCAGTGGAACAACACCGCCTCCTGGGCGCGTTGGCCACAGGGCGCCTCGGAGACTCGCACCCTTCCCCAGCCTCTCCTGGCTTCCAGCAAGTTTGCACTTTCTCGGTTAGGGTAAGAAGGTACTTGCGACCCTAAAATAGACCTCTGCTGATACCTACTCCTCTCTGCAGCCGGGTTGCTCCAGAATGACTCCTTAAACCCTAACACTTCTGCTCTTCATCCCTGTCGTCTGCCCAGGGACTCAGCTCTCTGCTCGTTCTCTCACTCTCACGCCCTGGCTCTCTGGCCGGCAGCTCCAGCAGCTCCGCTCCCAGCAAAGCTTCTGCTGCCAGCAGATAACATCACGATCCTGCCCGGGGCAGAGATTTATAAGTGCTCCCCAAACCACGTGTTTGCCTTCAACAAAGTGACGCGCTAGGATTACAGTCAGAAGTCCTGTTACTAAGACCACAGAGAGCTCGACCGTTGAGGGGGTGTGGAAAGGGGGACGGCCCGTGGGGGAGGGTGACTGGCAAGACAGATTTGCAGCAGTCACTGTCTGTGATCACCAAGGACTGTCTGTAGAGGGGCAAGCAGCTAAGCATCTCCTTTTTACACGGTGGGGCTCATTCATTCGCAGGCTCCCTGATTTTTATTAGTCTGTTTACAACCTAGCCTTCTGTTTGTCTGTGAACTAGCAAACTAGCAGAAAACAGATGCACCCCTTCCACCCAAAGCATGTTCTGTTTTACTGCTCTGAATAAAGGAATCATTCTCTTCTTCCTGTGAACCCACTTCTTGTATGGCTTGCTCCTTTCTTCCTAGACAGGTATTATTCACCACCTTCAATCTGTCCACAGCATACGTACAGGAAACCAGGATTTTAAATGTTTGATGTCTACTGTTACAGCCACTCATAGCCTGACATTTTCTACACCAATATAGATGGATACCAGAATCATTCTTGCCACTGTTCCTTTTCCTTTTCACCTTTAGTCAAAGTCAACATTTCAATTTTAGTAATGACTCTGTGGCCACACTGACTAGACAGTTTAAACTGGAAACTCTGCTGAGTGTTGCCCCAAAGTCCAGATCTCTATATCATTTCCTGGTTCAGGCATTTCGTAGAAAAAAAAAAAAAAAAAAAAAAAAAACCCAAGCCTTTAGAGATGTAGGCAGTAGATGTATGTGGGAGGGATCTGTATTATTAATAGAGGGATATGGGTAAATAGTGAATAGTGATGATAGCTGGCATGCATTACACACTGCAATGAAGAATAGTATTTATATTTCACAGACAAGGAGACAAGAGGCCATAGGAAGTGAGGTCTGTTGCTGCAGAGAACAGGAAGTGATGGGCCTGGACTTGGCAGGGACGGTCCACTGCCTGAGTTCTCTCTCACTATGAAATTCTAAGAGACCCCAGTCCCAGAACATCTGACAACCAGGAATTCGGATGTCAAGTCAGTGTGGAGGATTCAGAACAGTCTACTGCCCTCTTACAGAACCAAGATCTCCACTGCCACAGTCTGTGTTCTAAGAATCCAGCACAAAACTTCCTAACTCTTTGATCCTCTCTCCACCCACCTTGAACACAAAATTCCTCTACTCCAATGGCTCAGTAAAACCCTGGAATGAATGAATTGTTCCAACACACACCTAAATGATTCTGAAAGCCATATAGAAACCCCCATCATTGGCAGACTTCTTTTTTCAATGTCAGCTTCAGATAGAAACAGCTCTCCGGGGTTAGACAGCCATCTATGATCCTATACATTGAAGTAGAATTGATCGAGAGCAGACAGTTCCATCAGCTGGGGTAATCCTTTATCCAGCTGGACAGGGAAGACACAAAGCCAGAGCTAGCACTGCCCAGGAGGGCCAGTGTCACTTTGGAATACAGGGGCTTACTGGGGATGCTGCTGTGATAATCTATCAACACCTAGGTAGGGCTTCCTGTGAAGCCAGAGGGCATCTCACTGGGTGCTGAGACTGACCCAGGGAACAGGCATAGGTCCATCTTAGGATGGGTGGATGCAGATAAGGACATGGGCAGAGCAGCAACAAGCCCGTGTGTTACCAAGGACTCCATGCATCAATACCCACACTCTTGTCCAAGGTAGTTGTTTGAGCACTTACAGCTCCATATCCCTTAAGCCTGAGAAGGGACTTCTTCCTAAGATGCTCCTTTGGTTTCCCCAAAGCCCAGGAGGTGACAGGCACCTTCTGGGATGGACAAGCATAGCGACCTATGTCTGCAGAAGAGGAGCCTGTCTCCACAGGAGAGAAGTTCTCAAGAGCTGTGCTGGCTATGGCAAATGAATCCCGTCATCTTCAGCAGCTCTCAGGCCATTGCTTCCTCATAGTCAGGAAACAAAGCCACACATCTATTTATTACTGGCTGGTATGTCCTCAGGGCTCCCTGGGCTGCCCAGTGAAAGAGAATGCTGTATAGCATCTTGAGTACCTCAGTGCCCATCCATGAGTTCAAATTCCTGTCACTGTGACACAGGAACCTAACAACATTATTCAGAGGCTGTTCATGGCCCGTGGGAATGGGAATATATGCAGAAGGTTATAGTGAGGAATGATTATATAAGGCATAGAAAGTTGTTTATAACCCAGTTGGGGCCATGACTCTGCTACTGAACATTAGCTGCCATTCTCTAAGCCCTTCTCCATTGTAGTCAGGGGTCACTGTCAAGCATGTCTATGTCTGGTCTTTCCATTCTTCAAGTAGAACCAAAAAATGGGTCAGGAAAGGATCCACATGAATCTGCTTCATGGTCACACATGTCTTGTTTTAAAGCTTACGGTATTTTGGCCCTCTGTAATTGTAGAATGAATAGCTAAATGCACACTTTTTGATGAAATGCAATAGGAACATGCTATCAGAGTTCAGACATAAAGACATAAAGGTCTCTTAACACCCTAAAGTGAGAGGTTTGGTTTCTAGGCCAGAGGTTGAGGGGTGAGGAAGCAGCTGTTCCAAAAGCAGCCTTTGCCTATTCATTAATAGGTCTGTTAGTCACTTCAGTGATGTGGAGCGCCTACAAAACAAAACTGCTCGTGCCTGTCCTGGCATCTGTCCTTCGTGTCACAGCAACAGCCTGACCTGGGTCTCCTTCCTCTCACCAAAAAAAAAAAAAAAAATTAACTTATTTAAAACAATCCTGAAAGCATTCTACATGCCTTCTAGCATTTGAAAACAAAAACAGGAAGTGGGGGAAATATACGAAGCTGAAATTATGACAATAGGTGCAAGGATAATCCCTTCCCCTTCTCACTTGTATAACTTCCATCTTTACAGTCATTTGCATGTGTATGTATGTCACGGCACACCTGTGGTGGTCAAAGGATAACTCTCCTACCGTGCTCTCTTCCTTCTACCATATGGGTGGGTTCTGGGAATGCCTTTACTCCTGGAGTCATTTTACCATTCTGAGTTAATCTTTGATTCTACAATATAAAAACAATGTTTGGTCCATATCAGTTTTTTTTCCTCAGGATCTGTGTACATCTTAATAAACAAGTTTAACTGTGGACTAACAAGTTCTCTGTAGAATAATAAAATAATAGAAGGGGTCAAGGAGATGGCTCAGTCAGCAAAGTCCTTGCAGGCATGAGGGCCTAAGTTTGATCCCCAACACTTACATAAAAGATACAAGCTGCAGTCTACCATACAGCCCCAGTGCTGGGGAGATAAGACAGGAGGCTCCCTGGGGCTTGCTGGCCAGCTTGGAGATTAGTTCCATCAAGAGCATAGGTGTCCAGTAGCTTGAGCTGTCATCTCTCTCCAGGTTTCTCTAACATTTAGCGATGCCTCTCATTTCTTGACTCTGGTGAAATCCATCTACTAAGACAACATTTAACAAGTGGCATAAGCATACGATGCTAATGCTGAGATGCAGGGCCAGCAGCAGAATCCCCACTCCTGCTTCTATTATATCTCATCTGTGTGGTCCATAGAGACCCTAGACAGAGGGGAAGACAGCAAAGTACTTGGGCCAAATAAACATTAAAATGAAAGAAGAAAAGGCACATGACAGATAGAATAGAGTTAGGGTTCTCTTGAGTCTGATAGAATGTAAATGCATGCACGCTCACTCACTCACACACACACACATTCATTTGCATACTGGGTGCTTGTGTGTAGAGGAGGACAACCTCTGGTCATTCTTAGGCTCGATCTACCCTCTTTGAGACAGGGTATGAGACTGGCCTTGAATTCCCTGAGTAGGCTAGGCTGACTACCCAGTGAGCCCCAGGGACCCTCCTGCCTCCACATACTCAACACTGAGATTATAAACACATCTGTCATAAAGGACTATATATGTTTTTAATGTGGACTTGGGGGATCAAACTTAAGTTCTCCTGCTTGCCAGGCAAGGACTTCACTGCCCAAGCCATCTCCACAGAGCCCAAATGGGAGTATTTTTAAGATGCCTAAGTTGTAGATGGATTTGTCATCGTTCACCTCAGGGGGCATCAGACTGTGTGAAATCCTAAATATGAACAATTCTACCAGCAAAATCACCAAACTATACTTCAAACAGCTTTGTCTTTCTACTGCTTCACTCTGCAATTTAAAAACACGGAAATAAAGCAGAAGACATAGGGCAGCAGCAATTGCAAGAAAAGAAAACCTCTTTGTGGTTTTTATGACTGATGGAAAAACTGGTAAAATAAGTGTTTTAAGAAGTAAAAGTATATGAGTATTTTTGAAAACACAACTGGATAGATGGCTTTCAGAGTCTTGACCACAACTCTGATGACTGCTTCAACTCTAAGGAAAGGAAGTTCCACAACTTATAGACTATAAGAGCTCCTAGTAGTGAAATGTATCACATATTTATCACACAAATCAAGGCACCCTTGGAAGAGGATGCACTTCATAAAGGCATCCAGCACAAGGAGGCAGGGTGTCACATTGCTGTCCTAGACATCCTGTGAGGATGAAGCCACTCTCAAACATTCATCTGTAGGAATGGCTCCAGCTTTCACCTTTTCTGGTTACAGGGGCAAGTGACATGTCCCCAGGCCTTGTCTTCACAAAAGCAGTAGACTCCCAACATCATTTCACTGTTCCATTTAGAAAATACTTACTGGACAATTTTAGCAGTTCATACAAAACTACAACATCACTAGAGTCTCTAAGAAGTTTGGGTTGCCAGGAAGCCCATCTCTATGTGGGAAGAAAATGGATGAGGAGGCCAGCAAAATGCTTCCATGGACAAAAGCTCTGGTTCTAAAAGCTAG